TCAAGGCCATAGGTAATTTTTCTTAACCGTAGGAGGACTGAAATGATTTATATTTCTGATAATTTTCGGAAGAAATATATGAAGAGGTTTTCTAACAGCGCTCATCCCTTGGCAGTATATGACAAGAACCGAGTATATTTCTGCCATGAAAAAACAGCTTCTCATAAAAACACAATCGGCGCGCCGTTCCCAGACGGCATAAAAAGCAGGTCCCTCCCCCTTTTTTGACAACCTCAAGGTGCACAACATAAATCGGAGGAGAAGCTCGGCCAAGCTCTGGGAGAAATGAAGCGCCCAATATATATGTATATATTTTTCATGTGTCTTTCTGAACTAGACATAAATAGAAGGCGCAGATGCTTTTGAGCGGTTAAGGTGTTTAACTTTTCTTACACTTCCAAAATTTTCTATAAGACAAAAATTTTAAATTTTATAATGAATATTCTCAAAAAATTGCAGCTTAATGGCCTGTTTATGTACAACAACTAAATAAATAAGTTTGCAGTTTGTTTTAAGAAATCAAAGGTTTTGAAACCAACTTTACTAGGTTGTCCCGGCTCCAAATTTAACTCCAACACGGATCTAAAATCTGGCAACAGTAATTTGTATTTATATACATATTTCCGCGAATGCTTATTAAACTACATAACTACAAATCTTTATGTAATGATGACTTTATGAACTTTTATTAAAAGTGTGAACTCCAAAAAGCGACATAAAAATTTAAAAGCAAAAACCAAAAGCGCAAAGGAAAAAGTAAAAATTAAAGCAATATGGTGGCGTTTCATTACAAAATCTCTACATTGTAATTCGCCACCTGTGAATGTCGGCTTTTTGTTTTGCCGCTGACTTGTTTAACGGTTGGTTTTGATACGACTGCTTGCGGTCACTGTGCAAATTTGCTTGCTAGGTACATATGTGCGTTAGGGTAGATTAAAAAAAAAAAAAATTTCGATCCCCCCGCTGGATCCGCCACTGTAGAGTATGGTCAACATTGAGCACTCACATCAACGCTTAAAGCTCGGCCTAGTTTATTTTTAGCCACCTTGTTCTTATTTTATCTTAACAACAACACTATCAATAAAACGCTTCAGATCCTACACATATTTTTTTTCCAATTTTAATTTCAGATCAATCCTGAAAAACCACGACCGGTTATGGTTTGGATTTATGGCGGTGGCTTTCAGATTGGCGAGGCCACGCGTGACATGTACAGCCCAGACTTCTTGATGTCCAAAGATATTGTACTCGTGACGATCGCCTACCGTCTCGGCCCGTTTGGATTTCTCTCACTAGACGATCCCGATGTTCAAGTTCCTGGAAACGCAGGTATTAAGGATCAAATACTCGCACTGCGTTGGGTTAATGAGAATATTGCTGCATTCGGTGGTGATCCAAACAATGTGACCATATTTGGTGAGAGCGCTGGTGGCGCGTCCACACACATTTGCATGCTCAGTGAAAAATCAAAGGGATTAATACACAGAGGTATAGTAATGTCCGGCAGCGCCTTATGTCCTTGGGCACATCTACCGAACAAACGTTGGGCTTTTCGGCTAGCCAAGGCACTCGGTTACGAAGGCGAGGATAAAGATGCAGAAGTTTATGAGTTTTTGTCAAACACCAAAGGACCAGATATAGTGCGTGCAAATGTAAAGGTGTTGTCCAAAGATGAGAAACACAATAGAATACCATTTGCGTTTGTACCCACTGTAGAACCTTACTGGACAGAGCAATGTGTGATGAGCGAACATCCGTACGAGTTAATGAAAAAGACGTGGAGCAACAGCATACCTATGATTATTGGAGGCACTAGCTTCGAGGGTTTAATATTTTATCCAGGTAATGAAGATATGGAATAAATATTTGTAATATAAACGCGGCTAATGAAATGTTTTTCTCTTTAGAAATAATGAAACGTCCGGCAACACTCGATGAGGTGCGCAATTGCAAGAATCTCTTACCACCTGATGCGGGTGTAAAAGATGATTTGCAAAAAGCTGAGGAATGTGGGCTTAAAATAAAGAAAATCTATTTTGGGCAAGAAGAGTGCTCGCGTAAGACAATGATGCAGTTTCTGGATGTGAGTAGGATGCCTACATGTTTTTATAACCAATAATTTTTTCTCATTTTTCACACCCCATAGCTGAACTCGTACCGTGATTTTTGGTTACCCATCTACCGCACATTGCTCGCACGCCAGCGTCACAGCACCGCTCCCACCTATGTTTACCGCTTCGACTATGATTCACGGGAAGGCAATGCCATACGTAATATTCTGTGTGGTGGTGATGTGCGTGGTACTTGTCATGGTGATGATCTCTGTTATCTCTATTATACTATGTTTTCACATCAGCCCGTTAAGGGCTCCAAGGAGCACGAAGTAACGCGCACAATGGTTGACATTTGGACGAGCTTCGCAGCGAATAGCGATCCTAATTGTAATATGTTGGAGGAGGTGACATTTGAGCCGATCACACGCGATGAAGGCGAAATTAAGTGTCTCAATATTGGTGAAAAGATTGAATTTATTGATCTGCCTGGTATGGATAAATTAACGGTGTGGCGGGAATTCTATGCGCCGGGGAAATTGTAACACGCTCTAAGGGTGTGGTGTTTTTTACTTTAATAAGAGTGGGTGTCTACCTCATGGAAATTACCGCTTGTTGTATATTGTCACTCTTATGTCACAAGCATGAATGTGTCAATTTATCAGTTTTGAGTTATTGGGTTGACTGGGTTAACCTTTGGCTTTTCTATGTTATACCAAAACCCGGAATATCTAAGTCTCGTAAAAAAAATTTCAAACTTGATTTCCCAAAATTTTCATTTTTACAAATTCATGTTTCTGGCATACGAGCGACGATATCTGGAATTGAGATTGAAAATCGTTTTAAGTTTGTTGAAATTTAAGTTTGTAAATTAAATACAAATACCAGTGTAAAAGATTGTTGATTGGGTAAGATGATGGCGCATCGTTGTAATATTTTTGTAGTGATATATTTTTGTTAATTATCTTTAAGGACACATTTCTACTTACTTAATAAAATCAAACAATAATTCATAGAGAACCACAAAGTGCTTTACTCAGTATGAAAAATTATTACATCTTCTCACAATTATTGTACGCACTAATATATACTATTAGTAGCATTATTTCAAATTTAAATTTAGTAGGAAATCTTCATCTCCTACTTGTGTAAAAAAGCACACAAACAAATTTGTCAATGCAACATGCAAATTCTAATATACGTTGCAAAACTATTATTTGTGTGCGAGTTATTTTCAATCTTACGTTTCTTACCCTCATGCTTCGCACACATAAGGCAGTCCCATGCATTTTTCTATAGAAATTCGCTTGTTGTACATATAAACATGTAGGTATAAGTATGTATGGAAATTAGGGTGGGTCAATTTGTATGGAAAGATTTTTTCGACATCGTTCCCTGCAGATTCGGATTCTAGCTGAAATTCTAAGAGAAAAATTCCATTAAAGCATGCCTCTAGGTCAATTTCTAGCCTGCGAAATTTTAAAATAAGCTATTTTTAATTAATACAAAGTATGTAAATATGCAGATTATTATTTACTAAAGTGTTACGAATATTACTCTTTTTAATTAAATTTTTCATAACTATTTCTTAATTAAAGAAAGAAATTTTTCAACAGGTGAAACCCTATTCAAAAACCTCAAGAGGTATTCTTAATGATTCATCTAAATCATTTCTGCGAGACCTTGCCTGTCTCGCCGTGTTTTGCGTCATTTGAGCGTCGCTACAGTGTAATATATCGATGCCTGAGTGGAAGATCGGAGTTAGCTTTTATATCTAGGTGCGATATGTATGTGGCCTACATCGATAAGCCTCGGGCTCCTCGAACAGAAAACAGAGTTTCTACTAATAAGCAAACGGAAAATCAGAGAGCGTGCAGAAATAGGAGTTAAAGGAAACTGTCACTCAAGTATGTACCTAGGTATCAAATTTGACTTGAGACTAAAATTTAAGGACTACCTGGACTAAATTTGCGAAAAACCAGTGTCCATAGTCAAGACATAACGTAAGGAAGTTGCTAGCTGGTGTACTCAAGTCCGTTATTATCTATGGGTGAGAGGTTTGGGCAACTGAATGTGGCATGCCGTCGTATATCAAGAGAATACGATCAGTGTATAGACTTTGTGCCTTAAGAGTCTGCTCGGCATTTCGTACTGTGCCGGAAGATACAGCGCTGGTCTCAGAACTACATCCTATCGAATTCTTGACCCAAGAAACGTATAGTTCAGTCCACGGCTAACCCCACGGAAAGTCCTAGAAATCGCTAGCAAGGCGTCGTACAATGGATCATTGTGCAGTAGATGGATGCACACTTAGAAAGCTGGCTGACAAGGAAAAATGGCGAAGTAGACTTTAATATCGTGCAGCTTCTGAGTGGGCATGGCTGCTTTGGAGCGTATTTCTTCCACTTCAAATTAGAAGATGCCGAACATTGTGAAACCTGCGGCCAGAATAGTGTAGAAGATGCTGAACGTATCCTCTTGGTATGCCCAAACTTTCAGGAGGAACGAATTTTCCTTAGCTCATCAACTCTACGATATCTTAGCACAGTAGCAGGTATGTTTTGGACAATCGACGTGACCTATCAGAGGAATCGTGGAGAACGTTTTGATGCATTGACAGTGGCGATGTTGAAAAACAAAATGATGACTAACCGAGGGTAGTGCTAAGTATATGCAACTTGTGACTGACTGCATTAGTACAGGAACATACGGTCGAGCTTAGGCTCAACCACCCTCCGACAAATTACTTTACGGGGGGGATACGGTGCAGCGAACATACAGGTGGTTATAATTCGGATTGAAGTTCCACACTACGGGGTTCAGGCTTTCGATGCTTTCTCCTTGTATAAAAAAAACGCACGCACACACCTACACACAGTGCCATGCTAAGGAAGCCAATTTTGTCAAGAGGGAGCGAAAAAACTGTTTTCCGAGCAAACCTTTTATTATTGAATCATGGCAAAATGAAGCGTATGAGTAAAGCAGCGATCACACATTTTGTACATTTGTACAGATTTTTATATTTTGATAGTTTCAGAGTAGTGTTGTTTGAAAAGTTTTTATTGAGCTGAACTTATTACCGATAAAAATTTCTAGAAACACATTTTCATAATTGCCACCACCTGCCAAGAGAACGTGACCATTAAACACAACTGCTTTATAGTATTTTTCATCTGTTTTATTTTTAACTATCGAATCTTTTTGTATTGCGCGCAATTCTCTTGCATCTACCAGCTTTAAAAGCTCCAATACGAATAAAACAAAAAAATATCGTTTACCTTAAAAGTTACTTTACTACAGTTTTATTCGAAAGTTTCACTGTCATCAAATGAAATTAATCAAAGTAAACTTTCATTCAACTGTTAACACAACTGTAATTTTCTCATTCCTTTTGCTTGCTGACCAATAAATTTTGCAGCTGCAACTGAAAATGGACAACGATTTCAATCAATTTGCATTTACCGTAGCAAAAAAGGGGGCGATCCTTTCAATACAGTTACATATAAATATACATAGGTAGCAAAAATATATGTAGGTATGTAGCTTGGCGTCCATTGTAGGTAGGGGCACACAACATTGTGTTAAACTTCGATTAGTTTAATTAAATTAAACTTTTCTCATTAAGTTCATATTTTATAAGTGGCAAGAAAAGATTGCGAATTGTATGCAATTCAATAGGAAGCAACGTAAAAGTGCAAAACTTTTCAATTTCGCTCAATCCCCTGGCAAAAGTACTCAAGGTCTTAAGGATTTAACTCTTTAATAATGGTGATGCTGTCTTTTGTTCTATATTTTTCTGCGATTTTTGGTCTTATTGCCGTCTTTCTGTTTGCAATTTAAGTTAGTGACTTTTTTGCCGCTGCAAAGGGAAGCTTATAACTATAGCAACTTCACGTCAATTCATCAATTGAGGTAATTCGAAAATAAAATTGAAG